TCCCTCCCTGAGGAGTAGGCTTCTATCCTCGACCACTCACATCGGAGTAAAAAACATGAAATTGGTCATTGAACTATTTAAACAAGTCTCTGGCACCAGCCTGCAATCTCAGCTACACATTTGCTGCCCCTCAAGTGTAGTGATTCATAGTCATGCCTTGTGACGAGTGCCGACGTATCATCAGCAAAAAAGGTAATAAAGCTGTCATCGAGCAAAAGAGGCAAGTCATTTATAAACAATAAAAAGAGGATTGGTCCAAGGACACTCCCCTGAGGAACCCCAGTTTCAACGGCTGCCCAATCGGAGATTGCTACCCGACCTTCAACATTCAGCCTGACAGCCTGGGTTCTACCTGACAAATATGATACCAGCCACCTGTAAGCTGGGTCTCTTATTCCGTAGTGAAAATTTGTATTCAGAAGTATGTTGTAGTTGATGGTATCGAAAGCCTTAGTGAAATCGAAGAATATACCCACTGAGTTCAACTTAGAATCGCATCCGTTGTAGAGAGCCCAGCTCTGAATCCAAATTGACGACATGATAGAATGTCGATAGCGTCCAAATAAGCGACAAGTCTTCTCCCGAAGGACCTCTCAAAAATCTTAGAATACAGACAGCAGTGCAATGGGCCTATAGTTTTCAACCAGCGATGTCTGACCCTTTTTGTGAAGTGGTATCACAATGGCTGCCTTAAGTTCTTTAGAAAAATATCCAAATTGAAAGGACATGTTCAGAAGATAGGTCAGCACAGGAAAAATATTAGAAGCACATTTACACAATAAATTACAAGGAATCTTATCCGCGCCACATGACCTATTCCTGAAATAGATTCAATAATCTCATGAGTTTCACTCTCAGTTAGAGGGTTAGAGGGTATAAGAAAATAGATTGAGATATTCCACTGCATGGCATATTAATACATAGTTGTAAGTGCTTGAAAATTTTCCAGGAGTTTATTTACTGACCCGATAAAAAAATCATTGAAGATGTTTGCAATTTTCAGACTTCCGGTAACATTCCTGCCGTTTGATGTAATCGTATCAGGAACAGACTTTGGCTTGCAATTTGAGAAGCCTGTGATCGAATTAATGATATTCCAAGCAGCTCGCGTAACATTCACGGAGGTTATTAGTTTTTGAGAATTAATAGCTTTTTCAGCAGTGGCAATATTTTTTCTATCTGTCTAGAGATTTTAGTTGGGTATGAAGAAGTCTCAACTGTTTATCTTCATTGATAATTGAGGGCGTTATCCACGGATTAGACACCCTTTTAGTGGACTTGCGTTTAGCTACACATGGAAAGCATTATGTTAAACAGACTGTGAAAAGTGTCGAAAAAATTGGTGAATCTATCTTCCAAATTCAGAGACTCTAGAGCAGACAACTGATGTTTTTTAGATAGTAAGAAGTTAAAATAGTTAATGTTTTCCTGAGAAAAGGATCTGGAAGCCGCTGTAGTACAAGGTGACTCAAATCAAAACTCAAGATCTGTGCTCGGTGGTCCGTAAAAGTCAAATTTAATGTATTAATCGACATCAGATTCCATTCGTGAACACATTATCAATTAAGGTGCATGATGTGCCCTGAATTCTAGAAGGTTCAAAAAAGTTCAAGACCATACAAGCTGAATGCATTCACAGTGTTCATTGCTTCCCTAGATCTAGAATCAAAATCGTAGTTAAAGTCACCACAAAAAAACATAAAAATATTACGCTTACACACAGACTTCAACAATTTTTCCAGCCAGACACTGAAAGTTAAAAAATCTGAACCGGTGGGACGATACTAACAACAAACCAGAATATTCACATTGTTCATGGTTTTTAACATAGCTGAAGCACACTCAAAATGATTTGACAATGAGAAGACCCTATCTGCAAGTTGCTTATAAGTACCAAAGTCAGTCCTAACAAAAACTGCCACACCACCAGCATGCAACGAGTCTCTGCAGAAGTAGGTAGCTATCTCATAGATGTTAAGCTTATAACATGTAGCTTCTGTACTTGTATTCAGGTTTCAGTGATGGACACAATTTCAGGGTAACCCTCAGAATGCAAGAAAAGTTCAAGTTCAGAAGACTTAAGTCGTATGCTCCTGGCATTAAGGTTGACAATTCTTATTCTGTTCATAGATTCAATTTCTGACTCTGCCTGAATAATCGTTTTTCGCGGCATTATATGTACTGGATCTGGATCCCTGGCATTGGGCATGAAAAAATGTAAATTACATTGCTCTTGTAGCTTTTGTACCCAAGAAAAAGGTCAGATCGATTAATACCCTACGCCCTACATACTTTTCAAAAAAAACCATCAATTTGAAAAAAAAAACCAAAGCTTTTGGTAAGTGGAGAATGTCCTGTAGATCAGTTGAAGATGAAGTATGTAATTCACAATAAATATAAAATCCTTCATGCCATGACTAAAAAATCTATCGATATTGATTAGAACAATTTTGTATCTTCAGTTTAGACCAATGTACTGAGAAATGTTAGAGGATTTTGGTCCTTTGTAAGAAGTAAGCGGAATTGTATGGGATGTACATACATACACATAATTTAAACAATATTGTTGCAATGTTTGAGGAGTTTTTTCATTCCGTTTATTTGGAAAGTGGTGGAGATGTTGATTGGGATAACTATTGTGATTATTATATTAAGAGCGATGTAAATTTATCCAGTATAGAATTTAGCACTGACACTTGAGAAATTGGTTAATTTAGACTGCAGAGAGGGACCTGGCCCTGATGGTATTCCTTTCCTATTTTATAAAAATTGTAGTCCTTCTTTGTCGTTTCCAGTCAGTGACATTTTTCGACTTTCACATGATAAGGGTTATTACTTTCCAAAAATTTGGGAAAACAGCCTATGTCACCTCGATTTTTAAGGGAGGGGACAAGAATAACGTGAGGAATTATCGTCTCATCTCAGGGATTAACTGTATCGGCAAAATTTGTGGCTGACGAGTTAAAATTCAAGACAAATAATGGCTAGGTTGACTGTATCTACTTTGACTTTAAAAAGGCTTTCGATTGAGTTGGCCATTCACGTTTGATATGCAAATTTCATGCTTATGGGATCGGTTTTCCCTTACTCTCTGTTTGAAATCTTATCTGACTGATCGCACGCATAAAGTAAATAGTTATTTTCCTAACAAGTGCGCAAAGTGTTACTTTTCCGCACGCAAACACAGTTATACGAACGACGCGAAGCGGAGTTCGGATAAGTGTTACGTGCGGAAAAGACACTTTGCGCACGTGTTAGGAACTAAATTTTTCCTACGAGCTTCATATCAGGTAGGTAACAACCAAAATTTAGAAAAAAAAAACAATAATTTGTTCAATTATTTTTAATTAACTTGAAGCGAACCTATGCAGTTATCAAAAAATTACATAAGAAGAAAAAAAAATAACAGAAAATCATCGTCAGAGCCCTTTATCTTAAAACGTTCAAATTTGATGAGAAAGTTTGTAAATTCTTGCATATCAATAGAGAACAAATCTGACAATGCGTCAAAGTTAATTAAATTTGGTGTTTGTATAGATGTTGGCTGATATAGAAACAGAGGAAAAATTTGTCATCATGTGTCAACGTCGACAGGTGCACTTATTGTTGCTTGACAATTATTTTTACTTTTCGGCACTCAGTGCGGATAAGGCCTGTATCCGCACTGAGTGCGGAAAAGTGCAACTTTGAGAACCGAAATGCGTGCGGAAAAGTACTACTTTGCGCACGCTCGCAGGAAAAATAAATAACGTCATTTCTGATACTAGATGTTCAGTCTGGAGTACCTCAAGGGTCCCATTTGGGTCCAATTATTTTCCTAGCATTTATAGATAATGTCAAGTATGTAATAAACGATTCAAAGTCAATGAGTTTTGCAGATGATAAGAAGGTGTAAAACTATCGATATGGAAGCCGATTGCAGTGCTTTATAGAAAGATATAGATAATTTGGTGCAGATTGAACAGGCCCGAGTTAAACATTGATGAATGCTAAGTGATAACTTTTTCTAGAAAGCTAAATAAATACTGTCAACTTTGATTATCATACAGTATGGGCAACAAATATCTAGAGTCAGCATCATGTGGGATTTGGGAGTAGTGTTTATTTCCAAATTATCTTTTTGCGATCATATAAATGATACGGTCACCAATGCCAATTGTATGTTGGGATTTGTGCTGAGATAATGCTGGGATTTCACTGATGTGGAGGCGATAAAATGTCTCTACTATGCTTTAGTCAGAAGTCATTTTGGAAATCGGTTGTGTTATTTGGTCTCCCTTTTACAAAGAATATATGTATAGATAGAATAGGACAAGTGGAACGTAAATTTGTTAGGTTTTTATTGTATAAATTAAATATAAGTAGAAATAATTCAAATTATGAAGATAGGTTAAAAACTCTCGGTGTAGAAAACTTGGAATCAAGAAGAAATTTGCTTTCATTAGCATTCACGCGCAGAATTCTGACTGATACTGTTGATTGTAATATCCTATTGTCATTGAGTATGCTTAACTTTAAGGTTCCAACGTATCGAACTAAATCAAACAACATGTTTTACAACAATAAAAGTCGACTAACATTTGTAAAAATAGTGTTAGCAACTGATTAATGGAACTCTATGACTCTCGATTTTAAGTTAAGACTGCAAACTGGCGCAACTTTTAAGCATGGACTTAAGCGAATATTGAATACTGATTTTCAAATGTTGAATTGTGTCTTGAGTGTTAAATGTTCTGAACTTGTGTTCTCGGTTTTGCCTTGTATCCATTATACCTTAGGATATATGGCAAATTATAGATACTAGGTATCCATGTACTGATTACTGCAGGAGGTTATTAATTGAAATAATGTTTTTTGTTTGTTTGGTTTTGAGTTTGCATTTTGTATTTTATTGTGATTTTCAGCTTTTATTTTAGTATTAATGTTAAATAGCAACTATAACTGTACTAGTTGGGTTAGTTTTATAAAAGTAGAAAACCTTCCACAACTTCAATTCTTACCTCTAAAATCCACTGAACATTAGTCTGCAACGTCGGCATATTATGCAACAAAAACACTGGCAACAGTTCAGCTATAATAGCTCTAGCCGACCACAACGGACATTTAACTGCACCCCTGATACCGTCGAGAGCGTCCGGAATGTATTTTTTCACAGTCATGGTTTCGCTCATGGTTACCAAGAGATTCGTGGCTAGACAGGCAATTTCTTCGTCGCTTTCGTAGTTTTGTAACAGGGCAGCTAACGGGAGTAACTTGAAAAATTCTGGTCGGCCCGAAAAGTTGACTCTGGCCATTAGAATGGTAATAAATTTAGATACTGAAAGAGTAACAGAGAGTCAAGTCACTGAATTATATAACAAGTCTATAGATTCTCACCAATCTTGAAAAGTTTCAATAATTCTTCTTTTTCGTTTCCTTCAGTTGCAATATTGATTAAGCCTAAATTATCACAGGTTTTTACTATATCACTTTTCTCAGCAATGTCATTTTTCCTCAACAACTGCTTATACAGAAGTTTCATTTTAGGATTAACAAAGTCGAAAAAGTCTTCTAACCTTGGGCCTTGAGTCACATTGCCTAGCGGAAACACTAAATCTTTAGCGTAAACCAACGCAAGTAATTGACTGATTTTTTCTCTTATATTTTGAAACGGATGCGCCAAGTAAGGTTTAAAATATTCCACTAGTTTACTGAAAATTTCAGCATTTCTCCAACTTTGCTGGGCAATAGCCACATACAATATTTGTATACGACTACATGCTACAAAAGACGTAGGATCTTTTAAAGGATCTTCCATAAGAAACTCTAATAACCAGTGGATCGTGTTGGGATCTCTGGATTCCAGCCCCATTGTTATACTTAAAGTCCAATCATTTACAGTTTCATTTCCCATATTCATAATGGCGGTATTTAAAATTGGTATTAAAGTTTGCCATAATTGTTGTACTTTAGCAAATTGCCAATGTTTTGATCCTCTGATTAAACTTGATACAATTTCTGCTGCACATCTTTGGCTTGATTCTTGTTTATCTTCAACAAGTTTTTGGATGTGAGGTAAGATTATTGGTAGGAATTTGTCTTCAAACATCTTGAAAATGTACTGGAACAGAGAGTTTTATAAAATTAATAATAGGTTTTTAATTGTGTGTTGAGTTTTGTTACCTTAAAAGCTAAAAATCGATAAGCATTGAACCGATCCACACCCTTTTTCTCCTCCAAAGACAAATATTTTATTAACTGACCAACTTTTTCTTCATTTGTGAAAAAATTATAAATTTCCCTTTCTATATCTGTCATATTTTCCAAACGAGATGCAACTGATTTTTGCTTAGAAGCTGGAGCGTAAAGCTTCAGTTCCTTTGGCCAAGTAAAATACCCTGTATGTTGATCATGCAGATATCTAGTCTCTTCCCATTGTTGAACTGTATTTGGTACGGTCTTGGAATTATACATCAACCAAGCATTATCTTCACGTTCACCAGGAATTAACCGTTTCTGATTGGCGGAAGAAGAAAATTTGCATGGGTCAACTACAACTTTTTCAAATTGCGGTTTGTTTTGGATGCCTATAAACACCAAGATTGTCATGGCGCTTTTTCGGATGTTTATTGATTCGTTTATGGTAGAATGTAGGATAAATCTGACCACTCTTGAGCTATATTTTACGTCAAAGTGGACTAGGTTTTTGATAAAGCTCATTGCCATTGCAGTATAACGCCAATGTCTAAATATGAAAAATTAGGTTTACATTATTAAAATAATTATACTATCAAAACGATTCAGGAGCAAAAGATGACGTTGCATAGTCAATTTTAATCCTGGAAGTTTCTATCCTATTGTATCATACTAATCGACCCAACTGGGGGCAGCAAAATTTACTATGCAAAGCCCTTCCAGATTATCTTTGTAATAATTTCATACTTACAAGTTTCCTTGTTCCAAATTCTCCAGCAAACAATGGACAGTATACTCGTAAGCCTGTCTCTGTTGCAAAGATTTTTCTTTCAAATACTCCTCTCCATTATCAATATGTTTTTGAAAACCGCTGATATTACTAACAAAAGGTTTCGTATCAGCTAAAGCATAGGCAGCAGTTAAACATTTTTCTGGAATAACCAACTTTATAGCTATAGTTGGAAAAAAACTGTTGACAGTATCCATTAGTGCTGTTATTAGATTAACTATAGAAGGTTTTTCTGATGGCATCGACCGCACCAAAAGGGGCCAAATTTCTTTTATAAAGTCCCAATCGTGACGAGCTACAATTGGAGCTCTTTTAGGGCCTAAGAGGATATAAAGGCAACCTTTGAAAGTTTCATGGTTTTCTATGGAATTCATTTGGAGAATCGTTTTTATTTTGTCCTTGAGAACTTTGAAGGAATTCGGGAAATTTTGTACCATTGTGTAAAGTTTCACTTGAGCAGCCCTTCGAATCTACAAAAACAATATTTCAAATAAATGCATTTTATTTAATGGTTAATGTACCTCACTGTATCTTGACACGCTTAACTCAAATAAATCATCCATAATTTGCTTATGGGTATTTGTGAATGAGCAATTTCTACACTCAATTCTAAACTCTTGCTGCAACAATACTCGGTCTATGTGCACATGTCTCAAATGTTGCTTTTTTTGGTGTAAGCGATCTTCCAGGATTTTTTTAGCTAAATGGAAAGTTTTCCAATGCAACTCAAAGTCTTGATATCTACCTTTGTTGAAGAGAATTATGTTGTATATCTAGAAAATCAAAGATTTATAAATGTTTGTTTGAAAATTTTCAAGTTTTACTTACATAGATTATGAGTTGAATGCTTTTGGTGTCACCTTCGTCAGTTTCTAGTAATTTTCTTTGGACATTGTGAATGGTATCGACAATGGCTTTGCGAATGTTGCTGCCATCTGGCATGGTCAGTTTTCCATTTTCAATGACCATCAGGTTGAAGACCCAAGAATCAAGAATTGTGTCTACCCTTAAAAACATACACATATGCTTGGAGTAAGTTTTTAAAATTTTTTATCATTGTAAAACATGTAAAGGCTTTGATTAAGTTTCCACTTACAATTTATAAGAAGGTTCATCCCACGCAGGCAACAACAAATGACAGGACAACATCGACACAACAATCTTCAAGCTGCATTTAAGCTTTTGCCTATTTAATTGAATTTCCCCAGATACATATTTGTTCAAAGTATCCAATTCAGGAATTAGGTATTTATTGATTAAATTTTGGGCTGCGTTTATCTCAATTTCTTTGGGCACATACCAATTAATCTTAAGGTCTTTCATATTTTGGGGTTTAGCCCATTCCCTGAAAGAAATACAGTAAAAACTCGTATCATTAATCATAAATCAGTTTACTTACCTTACTGATAAGAATTCCTCAACAGAACTTCCATAATCCATTTGGGAACTTCTATTTTCTATAGGTTTCACATTAGTCAATGAAGCTAGTATTAATTCCAAAGTTCTTGTAGCCAATTGGCTGGCTTCCACACAAGCCATATGCAAAGTTTTATCTAAAATATTAGTTAGCTTGTCTATATATGGTAATAGAGCTTCTCTACCATCTACTACCTAAAAGCCATATAAAAATCAATCAATCTTATAAACACTAGGCTAAGAGCATTACCTCAGACAAAATCAATAAATGAAACAAAAATCTGGCATCTACATGCTCCTCTTCTACAATATGAGGATTCTCCTCTAAAGATTCTTCTAAAGAATTTACAAGATAAGGTACAAATAGCTTTAAAGTTTCAACAGGATTTACTATTGCAAAACAATGAGTTACAACGGCTACCGTTCTGCCTGCCACTTGTACTTCTAGAATTTTCTGCGTCACAAAATTATAAAATTTCCGTAAGGCGCTCTAAAATAAAACATATTTAATTCAGCAACCTAAAAACAAATAAAATTCTTACATGGAAAATCGCAGGTGAACATTGAGTCAAAACTACACTAACCACTGACCCGACAGCAGTCTCAGCAATAGTTTCACTCCTATTCTTTGAATTATTACTAGTGGTTTGTTCCAATCTGATAAAATCCAAGGAGCTAGAATCTACCCACACAATAAGCCTGTCGAAAAATTGCAAAACGAAATCCTCAAAACATGCCGAAGCTTCACAAATCATGTGTTCCTCTTCGGTCAAATCATTGTAGTAAGTGTGAGCTTTTGAAGAATCGATTACCGGTATCATATTGACGAAATGTAGTATAAAGTTGAAGGTGACATAAGATTTACGCATATCATTCGGATCAATTCCGGGCAGTAAGTCTAGTAGCAATGGAATTATGTGAGTCGGTCCTTCTGGGTAGTTGTTATGAGTTCCTTGGACCATATGTCTACAAAAATGATTTGAGATATTAGATTTCAAATTTCACAAGATATCTTACATACTAAATGGCTTATGGGAAATTGGAGTAATATCTACTATAGATGGATACCTCAAATGTTGTTTAGGCAAACAATTATAGACAGAAGCTAACCATCATTAATTTAATGAATGTGTCTTAAATTCAGTGATGGCATTTCACCTGTGTCAAATAGCCATTTATCAGTTTCAATATTTTCCTAACTAAATACAAAAATTCTTACCTTCCAACAGCAATTACAGCCATCATAGTCGATGTCAATTTGTGAGGCTCCGTCAAACTGCACATAGAATAACACAATTTATCCAATAATCCTGGTACAATTAAATTTGGCCTTAAAGAGGCTAAATAAGAAAGCACCAATGAAATTTCTTGAGTGCCCATTCTTGAAAAAACAGCAGCTTCAACGCAAGGCTTTAAAATATTAACAAATCTATCAATATCTGCATCGGAAAGCTTGTAGTGTTCAGGCACGTTATTCTCCCACGATGGATTCTTGTAGCGTTCACAATGAACTCGTTGTACGAAAAAATAGGAAAGCTTCATAAGAAGCTCCCGAAGTTTCATTGTCCATCTTCCAACATTTGCAGGATGGAAATAAGTTTCCAAAGTTTGCAATAGTTTTTCCAAATGGAAAAACGTTGTATTCTTATCGCCATTTAAACTGCAAACAATCCATACAGCCATAGCGGCTGTGTCGATTCTGAAGTGCTTACTCAATTTTTTTTGTTTAAAATTTACAGGCAATTGTAATGATCGTTGAAATCTGGCAAACATATTCGAGACGTAAGGGCTCCAATCGATGTAGCCCATTTGGAAACGGCCTAAGCCACCAAGAAGCCACATCATATTCTGTAAATTACGAGTGAATTCAGTTTTAGTGGAAGTTAGATGACTCTTACGTTTTCCCATGCACCAGCGTTATGACAAACGTCCCACAGACTCATAAATTCCTCAAACCATAATTTGTAGCTGATGTCAGCTTCATGAGGCAATACAGCGACAGGTAAAAACAGTTCTAGATATTGGATGGCTCCACATATTACTGAACTGGTGAACGGACAGAGGTTTGGTCTGAATTCATCCAGAATTTCTTGAGTTGCTGATGCTGGGAAATAACTGAAATTTGCAAAAAAAATCAATATTATTATGTGGCCAAAATAGTCGAATATTTATTGAATAACCAAGATCATTCTGGTTCATGTGTGAAAAATGAGAGAAAACAGTTTTGCTTTCTGAATAGGGAATTAGCAATTTGTGCATTTTTAATTACCGTCGACTTATAGGTTTTTACACTTACAAAGCTAACAGCAATGATAGCCTATACCTATGTTTGCTTTTAGAAACCGTATGAAACATGAAACTATTAAAAAGTATAGATAAAGGCAAAATAGACTGATCTGAATAAAGAACGTCCCAGTTCAATGGACGTTATGAAACATTGTGGACGTTGGCGAGTCCTAGATCACATCTAAATGACAAAATATTTGTTTTAGATAAAATTAGAATCACACCAATATTTGAGGAGCTGCTGAAGATCTGTGAGAATAGCTCGTTTTGGACTCTGATGGCCAGCACAGTGTTATATAATTGCGGTGTCGTTTGCAAACAAAGTAAATTTCCTGGTTATATTTAGTGTGGTACACCCCAATTATTTTGCAAAACCACTGATTGAGACGATCCATTGTAAACCTTCCGATGACGATCGGACCAGTAGGATTGAAATCATGTGAGTGTCACTCCTTCAAAGCCATAGTGAAAGAGTTTTTGTATCAGGATGTGGTGATTGATGTAATCAAATGCTTTTGATAAAGCGCAGAAAGCTGCTGCAGTTACTCCATTATTATATTAATGCCGAAATTAAAAAAAAAAACATCCAAATATTGAAAAATCCAATCATTTGTAATGCGATGATGTTCTCAAAAGCCAAATTGAAGAGAACATATTCTTTGTATTCAAAAATAAGATCATTCTACTTTTAACCGGCTTTTCTACAATTTTTGATAGATTAGAAAGTAGTGATATGGGCATGTAAATTAGAGGGATCTCCCAAATCTCCGCTCTTGTGAAATGGAATTACTTTTCCTAGATTAAGGCATGAAGAAAAGACACCAGACTCCCAAGATAAATTGATTGTCTGAACCAAAATATCCAAAACTTTGTCAGGCAAATTTACAAATAATTTTATAGACAGACCATCATCGCCAGGGCTTTTTTCTATTTTTAACACCTTAATACCTCTTTCGGGGTAGTACGAATAAAGTAAAAGGATTGATTGAGCCTTATTTGAAAGCAAACTTAGTGGTTTAGGGCTGGTTTATTCAGCTTCTGATAAAATGTCAGGTATGCAATCTGACGGATAAAAAAGCAATCTGTAATCCTATTGGTTGGCTAGTTATCCGCCAATAGAATTATAGAACGGTAAATTTATCTTGCAGATAGTTAGCAGCAACCGGGCCTTAGGGTGTTGAATACTTGGTTGAATAAAATTTTTGGTCAGGTTTGCTGCCATAGCAACAGTGTTCATTGAGTCAGAAGAAATGTCGCTATCATTGATGCTTGGGGAAAAATTGTTTGTCTTACGAGTACCTATCGTTTATGATCGACCAATTTTTCCATTGATTTTTCTGCACTTGCAAAACGATTGAAGTTATGCAAATATTAGGCTAACTTTATAGGTTTTCTGTAGGTTGACCGGTAGTTATTGGATTGGAATAGGTGTGAAAGTGTGGATTATCTGTGAATTTTCTAATATAGTGAAGATTTCGAAGATTCTTAGAGAACACCTTAAAAACTCTGCTTAACCAGAGTTTTTTATTTGTTGATTTAATTTTCCTAACAGGAAATGTTGCATCAATTTATTGCGAAACACCCCAAAAGGATCCAGGGACTAAAAAAAACTCTACGAAACAACGAAAGCATTATCACATAGTTAGTAAAACCTACAAACTGAAAATTCTCCCCTTGCTGTTTTTTTTTAGAGGGATCATGTGAACTTTACACAAACCGGCATTATGATCAGACAATAGGCAGCATTAATAACTGAGCGGCCAAACAAATATTTGAACATACATAATCTATTAACTTAGCAATAAATTTTGAAACACAGGTTTCATTTAACACGCATTTGTGATTAGAACATCTACTTAAGCCAGTCTTATGGAACATTTATAGCTTGAATGCAATAGAAAACTCAGATATTTTTTCTTCTAGCAGGTCATTGAATTTTACCGATAATTTTACTATGCGTTAAAAACAATTGACAGGAATTTAGCATTCACTAAAATCATGCAACCACCGTGCCCGTGCCCAAACACGTTTCTGCAAAAGGAAGATATTTTCAAGTATTGGAAGGTTTAGTCACAAGCCAATTTTCAGTAAACAGTACCATATTTGGACGTCCACACTGATTAATAAATGGATAAAATGTATTCGATTTATTTCTGTGATTCAAGCAACAAGATCCAAAGAAGATGGACTTGGCAAAGCCCCGATGACAGGACACGGAACAAAACTGACTACTTAGTTACAGATAAAAAACAGATTTTCGAAGACGTGTCAGTTATAAACAGATTTGCTACTGGAAGTGGCCACCATAGTAAGAGCTACTCTCCAAATAAACCTCGAAAATAAACGGAGCAGCCAGAAAAAACTCCCAAAACATGAACACATCCAAAGAAAATAAGAAATTTTGAAAAAACAACTAACAAACGTTAAAAAATAAATTTTCCAACTTCTAGACGAGGAAGGGAACCTAACATCAAATAGAGAACAAATAATAAAGATCATAGAGGAATTTTACAAAGAACAGTAAACAAACAAAAAACCTTACCCCCTAACAAAAGCTATAAACTACACAAAATACAAAACGAAGAATCAGAAGACATGCCTGATATCACAAAAGAGAAAATCAACTATGCCCTGAAGAAAATGAAAAATAACAGAGCTCGGGACGACAAAGTAGTAGCAGAAGCAATGAAAATAGGAGGATCGGTGTTGATAGAAAGATACAAAAGCTTTTTAACCTATGTCTACCCAACCAAGAGATACCGCCTAAGGGCCAAATTATGGACTGACTGGTAAACGTCTGGTTGTTACCTAGCAGGTACTTTCTATGCACTAGAGAATAGAAAGTACCCGCTAGGTAACAACCAGTCACTTACCAGTTGGTCCATAATTTGGCCCTAAATGGAACAATGCGATTTCTATCCTCCTCCACAAAAAAAGGGGACAAAACGCAGCTTAGCTACTAGACCTAATAGCCTCCTAAATCACATCTATCACCTGTACACCTGTATAATAGCATCAAGACTAGAAGCTAACCTCGATTTTAATCAAACAAGAGACCGCTGTCTTCCGCTCCGGATATGGGACAAATGACCATTTGCAATGCTTAAAAACACTTATTGAGAAGACCTTTGAATATAATAGTACTGGTATTATTAGATCTTTAAAAAGCCTCTGATACGGTCGAAATTAGTGCAATCTTGAGGGACTTGAAAGAATGTAGGATAGACTATCGAACCACACAAAAGGATAGATACCAAACGAGGAGTAAGACAGGGCGATACTATATCACCCAAATTGTTTACGACCGTTTTAGAACATGCTTTTAAAACACTAGAATGGGACAACAAAGGCATAACTGTAGATGGTGAAAAACTCGGTGAAAAACTAAATAATCTCCGTTTTGCGGATGCTATAGTAGTAGGTACTAATCACAGACGACCTACAACAAGGAAAAGAAATGGTATAAGAAAAGAATTTTAAAGGGCAATGCAGATGGTGGCTCTAACCATCAATTACAGCAAGACTAAGGCAATCACAAACCTAGTCTCCAGTGAAAATATACAAATTCACGGAGCAGATATAGAATTTGTGGAAAAATACTGTAACGATTCGCCAGGCTGTCAAGAATCTCTCGGTATTATCTCTCGAGTATACTAGAATCTAGCGAATTATTCTACTTAATTCGGGAAAATAAGATTATCGTGTGTATTCTAGATTTTACAGGACAAGATTTAGGGATATATAAAGGCGGCTATTGCTTTGTAGTTAAGTTAAAGTTTGACTGTGATACGAGTTAAATAGTGATTATTGCAAGTTGTAGAGTTTAATTGTTGAGTTAGTTATTAAAGTAATTAGTGTCAGAGTGTATTGTTAAGTGGAATAAATTATTGCTGTGTTAATTGGACTTTGATTTTTGGAATAAACGAGACGAACGACGAACCCAAGATTTTTGTCAGCAGGCAACCCAAAGCCGTTACAATACTATTATTTGAGACACAGATTAGAACTGACAGAGACAATCAAACGTACGAACTTCAGGCGTATCAATCTCGGCTGGGCGGCATATGGCATATATTCAAAGATCATGATATACCCATATCCTTGAAGAGGAAAACTTTCAATACGTGCGTCTTGCCAGTTTTCGCCTATGGAGCAGAGACCTTAACACTTACATAAGCATCAGCCAGAAAGCTACGTGTTACACTCAATTTTTGTTTTTTGGGGGACATATTTTATTGGTATTTTCACCCTCTACCTGTCAACCCCTATGCAGGAGTGACAAGTACCACCAAAATTTCAAATAGAAAAGGGGGTCGAGTCATACATCATTCGATTGCTATTTTTATTAAGATTATATCCTCGAAGTTTCAAGTTGATACTATTTACCCTGCTGAAATGGCGGCTTGTCAAAGTTGTGTAGTTTTCACCTCATGATAACAAAACAACAGATTTTTTGAGTTAATAAACATGAACCATATTGAACTGAACCCCGAACTGAACTGGGGTAGTATATACTATGTATGAAAATCAGTAAAACAACTACTCGACATTATTCTATAAGCTAAATGGTGATGGTATAGTGGGACACTAAATTATTTTCCAGCATAGTATCTATAGAATTAGTTAGAGAAAAACAAACTGTAATTTGAATTTAGCGCCACAGCGGCGACCAATAGTTTTCGAGCCGCTGACCATCTGGCAACGCTGCTCAAAATGCCTCTAAACGACAGCTGACTCCAACAGTTCAACAACGTGTGGTGTCGAGTGAATCGTGTGACATGTGACATTGTCGCAGTAACTTGTTTACGTTGTTTGATGTCAATGAACTA